AATCCCTCTGCGACGCGGCCAGTCACTGCCGCGTGGCAACCCGCGCCCGACCGCAATGCACAGCAAAGCAGTTCGCAAGCAGTGACTCACCTGAGCGTGCCACTCGTGTCCCTGGTGCCGGGCCAAGGGCACTCCTGGTGCGAACAGCTGAGCTCGGGGGCCCGAGACCTTCTCCCTCAGACACCGGGTCGGTCCGCAGATGTGCGATGGAATTGTCCCGGCACTTTGCAAGCAGAGGCTAAGCGAGAAAAGAAAGGGAAAAAAGAGTTCTTGCGGCCCAACCGAAACCCCGGGCTGGACCGCAGCAGCCCAATGCCAGCGCGCGCTCTTAACACCTGTTATTTAAAGCTGACCTGGGTTAAGTCTTAAGGAGGCGAGTCCCGCGGTACGAGTGGCCAGCGTGAAGGGTGTATTTACACTGAGGCCCCGAGCAAGCCAGGCGCGAGCTTTGTGCGCACACCTGAGTAGCTCTGAAGTGTGCCTAACTCGCCGCGAGTGTCGTGGTGTGCACTGATTGCCTTATCTTCTCATTTATCACAGATGAGTTGGAACCAACCTTGCTGAAATCTACTTGCATTGTCCTGATAAAATTGTGAGGCCCGCGTTGTCTCTGGATACAGCTTCCCGCGGGGCGTCCGTCCACCTAAAACCGCATATCTGGACACGATTCACGAAATAGAACCCGCACCTCGCGAGGCCGTCCTCCTCCAGGGTTCGCATCGCCACTCCTGAAGTAACCCAGAAATGCAAGGGGGGCGTCTTCACCCAGCATCTTTATACCCGGTTGTCTTCAAGTTTCTGGGATGTGAACGCATCAGGGACTCAGGCAAGGCTCCTCCAGCACGGTTTTGTAAACACAGAAAAGCTATTTACTCGTGGGCTTGTAACGCAACATCCATATGGACTTCGCAGGCATGTTTACACACTTTTTTCACACGATTAGCTCGTGAAGTCTTTCTAGTGTAAAATAGTCAAATAACCTGGCAGCTAGCTAACATTTTTCAAGATTTAATTTTCCTCTGAAAAGCCAGAAATAAAGGACTGAGAATCTTAGGCATACTTGGGGAAAATAAAGGATACTGCTTTTTGCTGCATGGCCTTCAGGAAGCATACACACGCAACCCAAATACAAATGGACCAAAGAGCTGCACGCCGTGGCTTCCTTACTCTGATAGATGTTTCGGAATTAAACAGATACCAGCGGAGAGATGGGCCTGTGCTTGGTTGTGTTACATGTTGCATGTTTTATGCAGAGAGGCCTAGCATAGCGATGTGGAAATTGAATTACAATTAGGTTCAGCGGAGCCGCTGAGAGGCAGAATAATGCACACGGCTGCAGCCACTGGTTTTCTGCTGAATTCTGTTCTTAGTTAAAAAGTTATGCATTTGATGGCACTAAGTTCTACTGCTCTCTCCCAAAGCATGATTTAAAGCCTGGCTGATATAGTCAGCATGTCACAGAATGCTGATAGATGTTTAAATTTTTTCTACCACTAGAATATAAAGTTAAAAGGAAACAACAACCCAGAGACTTCCCAGGCGTCCCACGAACACATGAGTCTCACTCAGCCAGGTTGAGAAACTCACTCCTGAAATTCACCCATGAATCTCAGTTCTATACCTTAAGAGCAATCAGTTTTTCCCTCTGAGTTGCAACCCTAACAAGTGCCTCAAACTTTTAAAAAATATAAGACCATAACATTTACTATAAAGCAAATAATTTTTTTAAAACTTACTTTCAGAAGTAGAATTCAATTTTAAAAAAACAAGGTGATAAAATCAATCTGCTATAATTTTCTCAATATTATAGCATAAGAATCATTGGCCCTCAACATTCATATTTGTATGCCCTACATTAGAATTTACAATTTTAACTGATATGTGCGTTTAACCTAGTATACTTCGCAAGCACTGAAAAACACTACAGAAATAGATGTGAAATTGAAATAGTTAAATAAATTGAGTAAGTAGTAAACTTAAAAGATTTACATCCTAGACTTCATCTTGAATTTAAACCCAAGAAACTGCTATCAGATTCGCCAGTGTCTCATCTGTGCTTCTCACAAACAACTTTGTGATTCACTGTCAGCCTGACAGACTCCAAAACAAAACAGAAACATCACTCACTAGATTGTCTAACACAAAACTCCACTCTTTTCAGAGTCTGCACTCCCCATAAGCATTTAGGAAAACATACAACTTGGAAAAAATTAAAACAATCCCACAGTGTAAGCAGTGTCAGAACTGAAGCTGGACGGAGACTAGCTCCCCTGCCCCTCATGGTTTATATAATTAGGAACACTATGGAAACCAGAAACAGCAAAGCAAAGAAAGCAGCATTCACAAGCAGGTTTTACAAGGGACTTCAGAATCTGCTCTGAACTTGTTGAATAATCTGCTCAGTATTCCAGAACCTCCCTGCTGGAAGCAGGGTCCTCATTATGCCCACGAGAGCGCTAATAAAGGTTAGCCTCTGAACTAGGGATTAGAAAGCTCTTTCTCTTTGGAAGCTGCAAACTAGTAACTTTGATGATCTTCTTGAAAAGGAAGACAAAGCACACTCCATGAACAATGTTTCCACTAAGTAGGAAGGTACAGAAAACAGGGGAAAATGATACGCGGAAATACTTGGAAAGGAAGTAGAAATCAGCCTTAGTGTGCTACATTGAAAAATGAAATGCGTTAAGCCGTCAGAACTAAGGAAGGCTCCACTATTAAAAAGGAAAAGAGCCGTGGCTTAAAATGTAGTTTTAAAATATAAGCAAATAGTTGATACTTTAAAAAACAAGTTGCTGGACTTTTCAATCCTGTCATTGATTTTAACACAGGTGCGAATCGCTTGTTTTCAGTCTTACTGGATGTTCCTGAAATTCCACAGCAGATAAGAGCTCCTAACCAAGGGCTTTCTTCTTCTGTGTAGAGTTATCCGTTTCTCCTTTTTCTGCAGAAAAACCTCGTTCTTTTAAAGATTGTTATATAAATATGTGCGAGAAAGGAGGGCAGTGGTTTAGAAAGGTTCGCAAACCCACTTCCGCCTGGGAAAGAGCAGGCACTGGGAGGACAACTCGGCCAAGAACCATCGCCGGCCAGGCGGCGGGGCTCCCTCCCGTGTCCCCCAGGCCAGCCCCACTCTCTCCAGGCCGAGCCCGTCTGCAGAAACACCTGCTCGCGGGCCTGGGGGCTCCACTGCGGGTCTTGCCTTTCCCTGCTGTCCACCTGACTGCGCCAAGGGCCTCGCTTCGCCGTGGTTTCTGCTTGGCGTCAAGCGCACCCTCAACGTTCCGTGTTAGACGGGTGACTTGAAGTCATTCTCTCGCGCCGATCGGTTTGCTCGCTTCAGTCCAACGGGATCATTTCGGCCGTGCGATGGGGGAAGGTGCGTGAATAACGGCTTCTCATCCGTGCTGATGAATCTCAGGTTGTGTCCGTCTATAGGGTACGTGGAAAATGAATCTAAAACTTCAGTGGGCTCCGAGCAAAGATTGAGGGTGATGGGTAAATAGAGCATGAGCAAAAGCAGCAACTTCTGGCTAACACACCATGAGTAAGTGGACCAAATGGCCACAAAGGAAGTGGGCCTGTTTCATAACTCGCAGCTGAAGCCCTTCTCGCGCGGCCCGCCCTGTCTGCGTCCCTTCCTGTTTCCACTTGGTAGGCAGCACATGCTCGGGCTCCAAGGGTCACATCAAATGCCACCTCGTCTGCAGAAACCATGGGCCTTGGGAGAATCCACTGTCTCCTGCCCTGGGCTTCCTACAGCACTTTTTATACTTTTATTTCTTATTCCTTTATTTCCCCCCACACACACTGATTTTTATTGGTCTTTATCTCCTCCCATCCCACTTCCTACCTCCAATAAATCCCAAAGCCCTCTGGAGCTTGAAGCCGTAGTATTTGGCTTAATGTTCCTCTTTTCCTTTTATTTGACAAAAACAATTGTGTACATTTACTAGGTACATGATGGTGTGCGCACTGTGCAGCGGCCACGTCGGGCTCGTGAGCACATCGAGTCTTGGCATTTTACAGTTTCAGAAAAGTGATGCTTAGTAAGGTCTGCCGGACACACGCCGGTACCTCAGGTCTGCGGTGCTCAGTCTTAAGACCACAAATACAGCTACATGGGACCACTCAGAACCTGCAACTTCCCACAACCAAATACAAATTTAATCAAAATCCATAAAATAAACATGAATTCCCCAGAATTGCCAAGCACATTTGGTGTTTGTACAGTTGCTTTATTTTAACTTTCCTCAAAACATTATCTTGCAGACGAAGGAGGAAAACAAACAAAAACACCTAGGAGATCTGATGATAAGCATATTAGACAGGAGAAGATCACAGTGAGTAGTTTCTGCAGTCCTTGGAAAACCCGCGTGAGCTTTATCCTACTCTGTCAGAAATTATGCTTCTGTAGGGAAATTAAATTTTAAAAGCAGAGCAGTAATATTGGACTGAGGTCAAAATAACAATTCTAAGATTTTCCGAAGACTCCAAATACAGTGAATTCAAACATTAAATATGAAAATAAGCTGTTTGGCTTTTAAGAACCCCTTCCGTCCAGAGCACGATGTCACTGACAAAAAGCTTCAACTTCTCAGATGTGTGCTGGGGATGATGCAGGACAAGGACCCCAAAACCCTCTCCGAGAAACCACGAAGCCCCTGAAACTCGGTGAGGAGGTCCAGATGGGAGGTCTGAGAAGAACTCTACCTAGGGAATGGGTTCTGTCTCCAAGGCAACGCCAGCATCTTCAGCAAGCTCTTGGCTATTGCACTCGAGTCTACCAGGAAAAGCTGCAGAGTTCAGGATATTTTATTACCACAGTTTTGAAAAGCACAGGAAACAAAGGCTCTAATAACCTGCTTCCAGTTAAAACTTAAAATCCAGGCCAATTAAACCTCCAGAACCATGATTCACACAATGTTGTGATTTTCACACTTCAAGCACAGAACAGGAGACCATGAAAGAGAAGCACTTCCCACAACAGAGTTAGCAGTGAGGAAACTTCTCAGTGCTCCGGGGCCTCAACCACGGGTCTCGGCCTCAGAAAAGCCCACCTGTGTCCACTGGACATTCTCCAGAGAGACACTAAGAAGACATTGTGGGTTTCCCACCAAGTCAGACAGAACTTATTTTTTAAAATGATATTGACTCACAGAGTCTGTTTCAGACAAAACCAAGTGAGTTCTCAGAGACACTAAGTTCTGCACCAGTAGGGGAAGCCCCCAGCCCCAAGCTACCACCCCGCCACTCAGGCCAGGAGCACCCTCTCCCTCCCGGGTGTCCACCTCTAGTAGTGCTGTGGTTCAGTCCAAAGCAAGCCAACAGCTGCTGTGTACTTTTGTTTACATGCTATATGTCAAACCTCACTGTCCCCGAGGTACTTATGCGACAAGATTTAGCAGTCGTTTTCTTAAATACCGATGCCTGCCCAAATTTGGATTTGCCCTCCACTGAACAAAATGACAAGCGCATGGTGGCTGCGCTCTGAGCGGTACTTCACCGCCACGCCGGGCTTGCAGTGATCCCATTACACTGACAGCACGTTGCCTGTGGGGTCTGCAGTGCTGCCCCAGTGCTGCCAGTGACATGATCGGTGTGATAGGATCAAGCGGAAGAGGGTGCAGGGGAGGGGAGAACCGCTCGGGTCCCGCTGCCTTCACCTGGGTCCCAGTTCATCTGGGCATCGTGCCCTCCGCGGGACACCTGGTTCTTAATTGCTGGTATGTGCAGGTTGACACTGGGCTCCGACAGTGTGAAACCCTAGAAAGTCCCCTCTCTTCGAAACGGCAGCCTGGGCCACGTCTTTTCTTCGCTGAACGAAGTAGCTGTACATTAAATATGCTGGCACATCTTCTGCCTGCCGGAGCAAGTGGACCGCGACGGTGTGAATTGTTAATGCCTTGCTGCTTTGGCTCAGGGCTGGTGATTGATCATTTGTAACTATATCTACTCCTTGTTCCATGAAATCAAGTATGGAGTAATGGGTTCATCAGATTTGGGGGTTAAATTGAGAGTGAAGAGGTACTGTGTGTGGAATAAGAGTGGCCATGTTCGGGGCTGGCCTTCGAACAGCATGGAATCTAAAGGCGACATTCAGAACCACTTCACTCATCACACGCTGACTGACTCTGAATAGGGCCCATGTGCGGGGCGTTTGGTAGTTTTCCAGTGCGCTTTATGCTTCTTTCCCCTCACACCGCCATGCACATCTTTTTTCCTGCACCCCAGTCGCACACTGGAGAACAGGTCAGCATACACAATTCAGTTATTTAAATGACTCGATTTAGACACGCAGAAATGAGCCGGGGCCCTGTTGTCTGAATCTTGCGTTTCCCCTCAACAAAACTATTTGTCTTTGAAAATACAAGTACTCTGTGAACTCAATTTCTTGGGCATCTAAAATATTTGGTATTTAGTAATTGTGTCAAATCATCAAAGTGGCCTACATGCACATAAAAGTACTTAAGAGAAATACTGGGAATGAACCATAACTAAGCCTGTTTTCATGTGGCAATCATCTCTACCAGATACATAGATTGACTGAATATGACATCTTTGGTAAACTTTGAAGTGCTGTACAAAAACTTAAAGTACTTTCTTAGAGCTAATTTTAGAAAGTAGAATACATGAAACAGATAAATTTAACAAAAACTAGAAATAATGACCTTTAGAAAATCACTATATAATTGCGTTAACAGCTAACACTTCTATTATTTTAGATGGTTATATTTTATGTTTACTGCTAGTCTGAAAAATTTAACCCAAACAGTTTTAAATGAGGCACAAATTAACTTTAGACTCAGTTGGGGGACAGATGCAATCATAAAGCTATGGAATCAAGTAGACGAAAAACCAAGTAAACTAAGTGTACAACGCTTTTACTACTATAAATAACATTCAGAAGCAAGCTAATTATAGAATGCTTTAAAATTCTTCTGACATGTTGTGTATCACAAAAACACAAATCTCAAAAGTGTAGCTGATCTTTTAAGATTAAAGGCAGGATTAATAGTAATACCTGGAAAACACACACACACCTAGTTCGGAGCGAGGCAGGAGTTCATGTGAGTAAGCCACACCTTATGTCCAAATGTTAAGTCAGCATACTACTTACATTTATGTATTTTCTTTAGGATACAGCACATATGTCCATTAAAGAGTTATATTTTAAATATGACAAGCTAAAAATAAGTCAATAGTGTCAGCAGTTGCAACAAAAGATTTCCTTTTGAGAATATTTTTTCCTCCTATTGTTTTATAATAGTGACAATCAGGCTATTTGTTTTTGTTGGAAGCTACACTTGCTACAATAGATTTCAAAATGAAGTTCTGGGATCAGGGACAAGTCATCAGAGTCAAAAAATTTTTGGTGTTAGAGTTCAAAGACGAAGGAATAAGACACATACACACCAGGAAAAAGAGCGACAATATGAGGGGGGAAAGAACAAGGACTTCATTGACAATGCATAGGAAACACTGACACAAGTTTAGTCCAGGAGATCCGGGTGAGACAGAAGTAGATTAAAAGCCAACCATGAGCTTGCAGGCTTCGGCTGTGTGCAGGCCAGCAGCATGATGTGTCTGACAGGGATGCAACTGTGGACAACACCCTGGGGTGGCCTCACTTGTCACTGGCTGACCCGGGCACTGTACAACTTAGGCCTTCACAGAAAGCGAGGATAGAGACAGTCAGATAAGTAATCTGAGAGACCAGGTTATATAACGTGGGAGGTTTCAGTAATAAACATGCAAGCAGCTGGAAGACAGCCACAGACTACGAATTAATTTCGGGGCCAACAGTAAATATTTTAAAGGATATATTTCAGTGAGCCATAAAATAGATTTCTTTGTTCCAGAAGTGGAACAAGCAGAGAGTAGGTGAATACTTGTGGAAAATAATTTAGAGAAGATTTGTGAAGTGAATTTTCTGATACCCTGAGACCCTTCTAGGTGATATCAAAAGTAAATCAATCAATCAACAATACTATTCTACTTGTTTTTATGCTGTACCATGCACTAACAAATAAGAATCTTCTAGCTTTTAAAGGTCTGTGAATATAGCAAGATACTGCTCAGAGCAGTCAGTGAATCATTAAGTAATATCAGAGAGGACTACCAACAAAAAGTAATTACTAGAGGGCTTGGGAAGTAGCTGGGTGGTAGAGAACTTGCCTAGCACAACACATCCAAAGTCCTGGGTTCAATCCCAGCACTGCCAAAAGGCAGACAGATTGATGAACAGTTAATAGTAAGAAATTCATTGCCAAATTAATTTTTTTATTCGGAACTTTATACATTGAAAGTACTCACATCAGTATGTTTTAGGCGCTATGACATATGACTGCTTAACACTTATTTTAATATTTATTTTTTGAGGATCCATTACATGCCTCATTCCATGGTAGATATTAGGAGTCTTTTGGAGCCTTTTCTGCGGGGTCAGACAGGGTCTTGAAATGTAGTTCAGGCTGGCCTCTAACTTGAGGTGATCCTCCCGCCTCAGGCTCCCAAGGGCTGGGCTTACAGACATGTAATGGGTGCCACCATAGCCAGCTGCTTTTTTGAAAGTACGACGTAAGATACATTTTCTCTTTGCTAAAGGGTTACACAAAACAGAACACCACATGATCAAATTTTATAGCGTGCGTACAGACAAACAGAACCTAAAGAACCTATGAAAAGGAGAGGAGAGCACAACAATTTAAGCGGGGTTTAAACACTATTTTTGAGCTTTGCATGACGACTCCTCTGTTGCAGTCATGCGGCCCAGGCCTGAATTCCTGACCCCCAGAAAACCGAACCACCTCACAGTTTCGCTGCTTTGAAGTAATAAATGTTGGGTAATTTATCGCGCCGCAGAGCGTGTGTGCATGTGTGTGCAGTGTAAACCACAGATTTAGATTAGGGCCAGTGTGGTGCGCCCAAGCCCACTCTGCCTGGCACATCGCACTTGTGGTGACCTGCAGTGTTGCTCCGCTGCACTGGATTAGGGCACCAGCACGCCACTCGGTGAGCTGCTCAGAGCCCCTCAGGCTGGGGCAAAGTTCCCCGCCCAGAGTCGAGGGGCCTTGGTCACGAAACGGTGATGCGCCCTGGCTGACACAAACCTCGGGACTCTGCAGGGACTTAGCGGCGGGCACAGGACCGCAAAGGCGAGAAGCCGGGGAGGGGCCGAAGCAGGCAGGGGTCCAGCCGCGGGGACGGCGGACGCTGCCAGAGATGAGCCTGGCTGGGCTGGATGGGCCAGCACGGAGACCGTCCTGCCTTCCAACTCGAGCTGAGGAAGAAATCTAAGTGTAACTCTGGGAGCATCGCCCTTCGGAAGTGTGAAGGATTAAGATTTCGGAGCGGACTCTGTCTAGTCGGTGAACACAGAGACGTCCGTGTTCACACATTCCGAGCGCATCGCTCAGTCTGCACCTGAAACTCACGCGCGTCCTAGCCCGCGTCTGGGGACGGCCGAGGGGCTCTGCTGCTCTTGGTCGGGCTTGCACACTGTCCTGGAAGCGGCTGGCTATCAGGCAGCGGGGATAAGTTATGGTAAAAGTCACATAACAAAACCATCAACCATTTGAAGGGAACGACTGCGGGGCCCGCGCTGGGCTGAAAACGCGCAGTCGCCATCCCTGGTGACGAGCAGCAGACTCTCCAACCTCTGCCCCTACGCCCTGGCAAGCATCAGTCTGCGCGCTGACCCCGCGGGTCGGATCGGGATATTTCACAGGGATGTGATCCTGTCTGACTTCTTTCTCCAGGATAACGTTTCAAAAATGTATCCACGCGGAGCTTTATCAGTGTCTCTCCCCTTTTCGTGGCTGAGTAATGTTCTACCACGTGCACGTACTACCGTTTATTTCTATGCTAACCCATTACTAGACCTTCCGTGTCTACTTCTTGGCTATTCTGCACAGTGTTTCTAAAAACGCGCCTACACATGGACTTGTTTGTTTATTTATTTATTTATTTATTCTTTGGAGAAACCACTACACGGTTTTCCAGAGCAGCTGTACCACTTTATGTTCCCACATGCAATGTAAAAGGATTCCAATTTCTCCACTTTATAACCAACACGGATTTTCTCCATGTGCGCATTTTATTACCACCATGCTGGTGCTTGTGAAATGATATTTCATTGTGGTTTTAACTTGAATTTCTCCAAGGATGATTTTCCATGTGCTTCTTGCCTCTCGGATATCTTACCTGCAGAAATGTCCATGTGGGTCCTTTGCCGATTTTTAATTGGTTTGTTTATCCTTTTGCTATTGAGCGTAAGAGTTCCTTACATATTTTAATATTAAGCCCTTATCAGCTATCTTATTGGGAAAATATTTTTTCTATAGTTTATTTTTTATTTTATTGATAAATATTCTTCAATGAACATTTTAAAATCTGATGAAGTCCAATTCATCAGGTGCTTTTTGCCTTTTTATCCCTCATGCTTTTTCTATCATGGCTACAACTGCAGTGCAAAATCCAAGGTCATAAAGGTCAACCCTGTATTTTCTTCTAAGAGCTACATAGGTTGGCTCTTACACTTGGATTTCTTAATTTTACAGACAGGAAGTGCGAGTCTAACTTCAGGCTTGTGCACGTGCAGGTGCATTTTGCCAGTGTACGACCGCCGCACACCTGCTGAGAGCTGACTGGCATTGATCACAGAGGTACTGGGTTATTTCTGCACTCTGAGTTCTGTTCCATTGTCTGTCTGGCGAACCTTTTAAAGACTGAGAGCCCAAACTTCAGCCCACAGCCCACTTATTTATTGCCAAGTGCTGACACTGTGATTGTCCTTCAGTGCTTGGGTACCCAGTCCAATATCCCGTGCTTGCGCTGGGCCCGCCATGGCACACAGACCTTGGATTCACCCCCACTGGTCTACAGGCTGGAACCCCACTATTTCAAGTGCAGTAGTTTTATTTGTAGTAAGTTTTTAAATCAGGAAGGTGAGCCCAGTGCAGAGTCCTGCCCCAACTTAAGGTGTCAGGCACATGTTCAGGGTGTCCTGGGATACCACCCTCACTTCGGGTCAGTGGGTTACAAACTCCTGTGTTCACACTACCCTCTTAGGGCCAATAATTTTGTAAGATGGCTCACAAAACTCAGGGCAGTGCTGTCCTTATGGTATCAGGTTGGCAGAAAGAAGTCACTATGAGGAGCAATTAACGAAGAGGGAGATGTGTGGAGGGCTTGCACCAAGCGGCTTCACACTTTAGGGTGCATTAGTGTGCAAGACCACACAGTGCCGTCCGTTCACTTGCCTTTCAGCCTCAAGTGCAGAGCAGCTCGAGTGGATCATGCAGTCGAATATCCAGTTCGGTGGTCATATTTT